AAATATATTCTAAAACTACTTGTTACTAAATATGTATAAATTTCATATTCGTTTAAAACAAAAAATGAAGAATATATAAAATATTTGAATTAGAATGATACGTCTTTGGGGGGCAAAAGGAACTAATGGCCTGATCATAATAATTTACTCATGTTTTTGTTTAATCCTACATAAATTTATAGACTATTTTGATATAAACAATAGAAAATAAAATTATAATTTAAGACTACCTCCTGATTTTGAAGTCATACGTCTTTGGGGCAAAAAGGAACTAATGGCCTAATCATAATAATTTACTCATATTTTTGTTTAATCCTACATAAATGTATAGATTGTTTTGGTATAAACAATAGAAAATGGAATTATATAAAGAGTACCTCTTGATTTGAAACCGAAAAAAATAGCTAGGCTGCTAATTATGTATTCTCCACTTTTAAACTTACTCTAATTTTTTGTTTCGCTTAGATATTGTTAGGATGACATTGGAATATTACGTTATATTATGGCTTAAGAAATTCTTTTTTTTTTTTTCAAATGACACTTAAGAAGTTCTATTATTAGTTTGGTAATAAACTCCTATATTTTAGGCACTATAACTTAAATCACGTTATTTTATGTTTTTAAAATTTTCTAGTATTAGTTGGTTTCAAACTCCTATATTTTAGGCACTAGATATTACTATTTTATCCCATATTTCAATTTTTTTTTTGAAGAAATAATTCAATTGTGAAGGGTATAAAAGTCGGTCAATATTTTGAGGATATTTTTGTCGTTCAACATTTTGTGTTCCAGTATTCGTGCTTTTATAATAATATAGATAGATTTAAAAATTATTTTTGGGGTGATTGATCAAGCTTTTAAAAAGTATTTTTAAATATATTTTTCTCAAAAAAAAAAGAAAATAGTTTGAGTGCTTCTCAAAAATTACAACAACAACAACCCACTAGAATCTCATTAGTGAAGTCTGGGAAGGGTAGAATGTACATAGACCTTACCCCTACCCCGAAGGAATAGAGAAGCTGTTTCCGGGAGACCCTCGACTAAGAGACAATAGATCTGTAACCACAACAGAAACCAGAAAAATAGTATCAGCATCGTAAAATACAACAAATAAATGGAAAGGCCAAAATATGAAAGACAACACCAACAATAAAAATTAAAAAAATTGTGAAACATAACAAAAACCGCTAGTTGTCCTAAGACCTTCTCAAAAATTACATCTAAAATACTATTTTTTAAAAGTTTGGCAAAATACCTTAAGTTTGAAAAAAAATACGTATGTATATGTTTTTGACCTTAGAAAGGCTTGGTCAAACAGTTTATTAATCGATTCAATTGATTTACCTAAATAGAGCCGGGTTGAAGTTAGCTGCTTGATTGGATGACCATTATTACAAACCTATGATAATTAAGTACGTTTAACAACATTATATTAATTGATCACATATGTTATTCCCTCCTGTCCATTTTAATTAATTTTTAAATTTTTTTTGGGTCCACAATATTTGATTTTTTCATATATTAGGAAGGAATTAATTAACTTATTTTTTTCAAAACTACCCTTGCAGTTAAGAGCTTAGGAGTATTTTATATATTTTCAATGAATAAATTAAGGCTAATATGATTAATTTTATTTTTAATTAATGCTAAAAAGTGAAATTTTTAATATATGTAAAAACATCAAAAAAATTAATTAAAGTGCATCGGAGGAAATTGTAACTAGTGATCTCGAGCTAACATTAGAATATGTTAGTCACCGATGATCGTAAAATTCATTTTTGTATAATAATAGCTATAAGGAGAAAATACTAAATTCTATTGAAATCGAGAGACCCTAGTCTATAGGAAACTCACATTAGTATAGATTCTTATTGAATCAACTTAAGGAATTCATTGGCAAACAAAGGATTCATCCATCCTTACATTGTACTCTCATATCTTCATCAATAAACAACTAAATATTATGAGATTATTAGGTGTCTACTATTTATACTATAAGGTTCAGCAGTAATTATACAATGCCTAAAATGTCCCAAAGGTGAGCTAAAATGACCAATTGGCCGAAACAGATTGCCCGCGATCGCGGTGCGTTATGTCATGATCGCGGTGGAGGGTCATGATCACTAGGCGCGGCTCAAACATATGTGTGGCCTAAAGCCAAAGTTTAATATGAGGCCTAATTTTTTTTTTAAAATTTTAATAATTTTTTTATAATCGATTTCCTCTAATAATTTCTTTTCAATTGATAATATAGCCAACAAATTTAATTTATCTTGAGACATTGTTAATCTTAATTCTTAGGTAAGATTTTATCAATTATAATATTGAAAACTTCTTTTCTTTGAGGCAACTGCTATAGAATTTTTTTCTTTTTTTATACGAAAAGTGCTAAATATTTTTTTTTAATACCTATAAATCTATCATTTTTTTAAAGAATAGGGCGTGCCTAAGGCAAAAGCCTTACTTGGATGTACATTAGAGCCGGCCCTAGTGATCACGGTGATCAGTGCTACGATCATGGTGACGGATCGTAAAATAGATCAGCTAAAAGTAACGGACATGTATGTTGAGAATCCAAGAGAACTATATAAAAGTTGATTATGTCTAAAATTTGATTATAAAATAGGATCGGGACACATGCATTGCTAAGAAAACATAGGAAAATACAAAGAATGTGTCAATTTCACTATCTCTTAGTTGCGAGGCCTTGTTTGGCCA